GGAAGAGGCTTCTCAGTGCAAGGTGCAGTGAGGTGCTAGAAGCCTCTACTCTTCTGGTAAGGTAGAACCATGAGTCACAAAGGGTACAAATGGGGTTGAAATATGTCTTTAAATGGAGTTTATGGTCTTGCTTATGAGCTTCCTAGAAAATTTCAGGTTTCCAGCTGTGAAAGGAGAAGGGCAATCCTTGGTCATATATGCTGGGACTCAAGCATAGTTCATTGCTATTTTAACTTTTTTTTTTTTTTTTTGGTTTTTTTGAGACAGGGTCTCCCTGTAGTGGCTGGCCTGGAACTCATTATGTAGACCAGACTGGCCTTGAACTCACAGAGATCCGCCTACCTCTGCCTCCTGAGTGCTGGGACGACAGGCATGCGCCACCACACCGGCTTAATTTTTTTTTAAAACAGGGTCTCACTATATAGTTATGGCTGGTCTGGAGCTCACTATATAGACCAGTGTGGCCTCACACTGGATTAAAGGCCTGTGCCACCAGGCCTGCAGAAGCCCCTATTCTTAGTTGACTCTGGTACTGAATTTCTTCTTTCTAGTGGAGTGTATGCAAATAACTGCAGACATAGAACTTGCTATTTGTGAAGGGGTGTCACACATGGATGCTGCTATGCTCTTTTTCCCATTAGTAGGAAGTAACAGACAGCTCCTAACAACACTGTTCTGGATTGTGTCAAAGAAAAGCTCTGTAACTCAGTGCTCACTGTGCTCTAGAGACCTGGATTTTCTGGATTGCTCTCAATATTTCGTTTCTGAATAGAGGTAGCAGCCAAACAAAGTGTCAGAGGCCCACAGTATAATCAGGAGGGAGTCTGGCACTAGTTTTTTTCATCATGTCACTCAGCAAGATCTTACCAAGCACCTGCTATGTGCTGGGCTCTGCTCCATGATCCACCTCTCACCACTCATTGGGCAAGCCACAGTCATAGGTTAGATTTGGGGGATTTGGGAGGAGAAAGATTGAGACAGGGTTTCCCCATAGTCCCAGTTGGCCTGGAACTCCCTATGTAGACCAGGCTGACCTGGATCTCTCAGAGATCCACCTGCCTCTGCCTTCAGAGTGCTGGGATTAAAGGTATAGGTTGAATTATTAACACAACTTGGAAGCAAATGAAAAGCAACTTTTTCCTTTGTGTAAACAAGCAGCCAAGTAAGAACTTGGTCTATGTGTTTCAGAGACTAGACATTCAGATTTAGCCAAGTTTAACTGGTAGGTTTCCTCAGGTATTTCCTGAGTCTAGATATTTACTTGCTTGTCAGTAGAGGTGAAGGACATTTTAAAGGAATGAGTATCTAGAGACAAAATGGCCTCTAATGAAGTTGACACTGGATGGGGTTGAGTCTGTGGTTCACTCTAACTTCATTAGGTCAGTGAGGCAGCCTTTCCTGCCTCTTTAGATCTTTAGATTTAGAAGAATGGGGGAGGGAGAGGGAAGGGAGGCACCATTTTCTGAGCAGAACTAGCATCAAACCAAGATGGTTCTGAGGCTTACAGGAGCCCTCTCATACAGCCTAGTTAATAGGACTCCTTAAACAGAGGAGAGGGCTGTAACAGACATGCTCAGAGTCAGTGCACTGTCTTAACACGAGGCCAGCTTTGTAGTATTCCCCTCACAACCCACAGCTCTGCACACTGGTTTAGGGCCCTTGTCTATTTTTCTTGTGTTTTCTGCATTTACTCCAGTGTAAAACAATCACTTTTTTGTTTTGTTTTGTTTTGTTTTATGTGACTGCTCCCCCTGTAGACTCCTTGAGTAAGAAATGGGCCATATAACTAATCTCCTATATCCCCAGAGGGTAGTACATGGTAGGTGCTCATTATTTGATGAATCTGGTGGATTGATGGATACGCAGACAGATACCTTCATCCCATGGTTCTTCTTTTATCTCCTGTACCAAAATGCAATCATGCTTCAATAAAATATGCCTGGCTGGGATTGTAGGCTGTGGTTTAGGTTGAAAGCTCCAGACACACGAGAGACTGGAGAGGAAGTGAGAGACTAGCTTTAGGCCCAGTCACAAAGAGAGCATCTGGACTTGGCTTTCCCCTCTTGCCAACCTATAAACTTATCCTTGTAGCTTAAGGTCTTGTCTGTACTTAAAGGAGTTTCTGAGATAGATGGCACTTACCTTTACCAAGTGTTTCCCTTAGTCTCACAGAGAAAATCTTGGAAGCTTAAAGTTGAACAGAGTCACAGTCCTTATACAAATAACTATCTGGAAACCAGAGAGTCTAGTCACTGGTCCAGGGTTGCACAGTAGCTGGAGACCTGAATTCCCATCTCCTGGTTTCCAGTGACTCCCTTTGCTCTGTGCCCAGCAGACCTCTGTTGGGAAGGGGAGGACTTCCTTCTTTTTTTCTATATTTCTGAGGGACCTCCTGTGTAGTAGGCATCATGTTCAGGCCTTGGATAGGAAATTAAGTCACAGTCATTGCTCTGCAAAGACTTTTTCTCTGACCTGTACCTGAGACTTTCAAGTGTGCACAGCTTAGAGCTGAAGTCCCTGTGGCCTTCAGCCTGTTGGTGTGAGCAGAGGCCAGTGGGCTCTTGAGCTGAAGGCTTCTTTCTCTGTAACCTGTGAGTCTCAGGGTCCCAGACCCTCCTGTCTACACTGGAGCTAGCTGCCACCATTACCACTGAAATAATCATGCCAGAAAGTAATCAGGATGATTTCAGAACTGTATTGTGGATTATGCAAAGCGGGCAGTAATTACAGTCGGTGCCTGGAACACAGAACACATATGCTCCAAGTGTGCCTTGTAGGCGCCTTTTGCCAGAATTGGTTAGTTCTGTGGGGGGGGGGGGGGTATGCGCTCCTGTCTATTCAGTGGGCTTTTTGACTCTTGGTTAGTCTGTGGCTGGAGAAAGAACTCTCCAATTTTGATGTATTTTTCAGAAGTTTTGGTGTCTGCAAATGAGTCAACATGGCCAGTGTCCAAGAATCACAAGAGGTTGTTTGGAGCCTAGGACAGCCATATCTTACTTCACAGCTTGGGAGCACCTGAGAAAACCCTAGATCTCCTTCTGGCCACACAGCCTTAAGCTTTTCCCTGGAGACAGGCCCAGGTCTTCTCCTCCCACCACTTGCCCTCATCTTTGCCCACGACAAATTAGTTCTACTTGAAGTTCTTTGTCCTTGACCAAGCGCCCCCTTCTGCCTTCACATCACGATGCTGGCGGCAGCGACCACTGCAGCAGCAGCTGGATTTCTGGCAGGAGCCAGAGCCAGAGGACCCAAAACCCCGCCTGGCATTCTGTCTCTCAAACCCTGGCCGGAAATGCCTTCTCCTTCTGGGCACGGAGTTCGAATTTGTGTTGTGCCGCGAGCAGGGCTGGCAGGCAGCTCAAGTAAGCTGTCAAAAAGAAACTTAATTTTTCTCCCTGTCAACCTAAAAATTCTCTCTCAGTGCTCTAAACGCCTTGCGTTTTGAAAGACCGTAAGGAAGGGCAGCGTGGGAAATTGTCACCCCTTTTTCAGTTCTTCCGGGTGGCCCGGTACGGAGTTCGAATTTGTGTTGTGCCGCGAGCAGGGCTGGCAGACAGCTCAAGTAAGCTATCAAAAAGAAACTTAATTTTTCTCCCTGTCAACCTAAAAATTCTCTCTCAGTGCTCTAAACGCCTTGCGTTTTGAAAGACCGTAAGGAAGGGCAGCGTGGGAAATTGTCACCCCTTTTTCAGTTCTTCCGGGTGGCCCGGCCCCTCGCCCAGTGACTGCTGTGTGCAGTGTGCTGGGTCCAGTGCAGCCCTCGGGCTCAGGTCGCGGGAGAAAGTTAGGATCACGTGCTGCGACCAGCGACTGCATCGCACCGTTGGCTCACTGGGGAAGCCAGCACGCACTTGCACGAACACACACTCTCGGAACCCCAGCTGCCGGGTGTGCAGTGGTGTGGGGAGAGAACCCGGCCGGGTGGGCGGGCGCTGGTGCTGAGCGCCAGCCGCGGCTCCCCTCCCCCAGCTCGGTGCAAGGGCGGGACGCGTGACCTCTAACCTCTGGCCCGGCCCACGCCCAGCACCCAGGCTGGCAAGCTCTTGTTCGACAAGTTCAAGCTGCCGAGAGAGCTTAAATAGAATTAATCTCCTAGAGATTGGAGATCACCGCTCCCTTGGCGCGCGCTGTCCCCGCGCGGCGCCACTAACCAGAGCTCTGGAATTGCAGCGAGGCGGTCGGGATAAGGCGGGAGGTGGCGGAGCTCCCCAGAATCCCTGGGCCTGGGTCGGGAGGAGGGGGGCGCGGAGACCGTGATGCCTGCAGGGCACGGTCTGATGGAGGGAACGCTCGGCCTTACAACCGAGCACGTAATGGAGGCGACAGGAGCTCTGCCAGCTCCGGGTGGGTCGGATTCGCTTGCAAGAAGCAGGCGCCTTCCTCCCCGCCGCGGTTCCCAAACCCATCACGCCAAGGCGGAAGGACGGCGGAGGCCCCGGAAGACCCCGGCCCAGGCCCCAAGTCCGCACACAGCGTCTTCACCTCTGACTTTCCATAGATAGTTGCAAAATGAATAAATTACTCACCTCGGGCCAGATCCAAGTTTTACCCAACAGTGGGGGGCGCGGGACCAACAATGAATCAACTCACATGGCCATGTCCGGCGCGCACAATCACACACAAACACAGCTACCCAATTTCTTCCACGAATCTGTCTGGCACTCTGGAGAGAGGGGGAAGGAGTTTTGAGAGCGTCCTATCAACCCTCCCCTTCTCCCTTGCGGTGAAATACAATAATTCATTTTTATTACAAGAGAAGCACCGTCCTCACCGTCACGCACTCACAGAGCCGGACTCCCATATCCACATTCTATAACTCGTCAGCTCCCTGAGCGCCTGCATTTTCTTTGGAAGCCGCTTGGAGGTTCATTAATATCATTAGCATTTAACCCCCTCCCTCTTCCCATCTCCTCCCCGCACATGGCTGACGTCAGACCCCGCCAGGAGTTGGGGGAAAAGCTAAGTGGGCCAGGGACGCCCTATTCCCCTCCCCACGGCTGCCTGTCAGAGCTCTTCTGGAGATATTACAGGGGACCCAGTCCGCAGCGACAGGCACAAAGTCACAGGGTAATGAACTTCGGGGACCCTTCGCCGTTGCGTGAGCGACTGTCCCCAGAAACCCGGACCTGGCCACCTCTTCCTACGGAAGATCTAGCAGCAGTCTAGTTTCCCCACTTGGCGCCAGGTTCCTGCAGCGTGGAGCTCATCTGCCTCAGAGACTGCGCTTGTGGTTTTCGTCTTTCCTTAGAAGACCAGCGGTCTGTAAAGATCTGCCCACCCTCTGCATGCCTATGTAGAGGGAGAGATTGAAAACCGAGTGACAGGAATGGGGAAAGAGAGGGCTTTTGCCCTTTTGGCTCCATAGGAAGACTGTTTTCGTGTCTCCATCTCTGTCCTTCAATACCCCCCTCCTTGTGCTGTCCTCCCTTTTCTCCAGCCTGCCTGTCCATCTCTCCATCTGTCTGTTCATGCGTGTGTCCACATCAAGCAGCATTCCCAGCAGTTGCGGTTTTGCAAGAGCGGGGAACAAACTTAAGGATGCTTAAATTTCCACTCTGGAACGAATTCTGAGCGCCCAGAGAGCAGGGCAGAGCGCGACCAGCATCCACCTGTCCGGCCCGGGAGCCCTGCAGGCTGGAGGTCGGCTGGAGAGCTGCGGCGGCGGGCAGCGAGGCGGTCGCTGCTGGCCGGGACTCTGGCAGTGCCCACCAACCGCTCCGCCCCGGGACCGCCAGCATGAGCAAGCCCGCCGGATCAACAAGTGGGTACCTCTGGGGCAGCCGCAGGGCCCTGGCGCTTAGCCTGGGACGGGCAGCGGGGAGGCAGGGGCTCTTCGTACTGAGCCCTAGAGAGGGACACCAGACAGAGTTTGTGTCCCTTGAGTCGAAGCGTTTCGTGTAATGGGGAGAGCAATTTCGTTGCTTTGGGATGGTTTGTTCTGTTTTCCCTAGTGTGTTGGGAAGGTTGCCACCTACGCAGACCACCGGCCCAGCAACTTGTTTCTATTTAGCTGCCAGGTGCTGGTGATGGGAGGGGTGAAACGGGGGCGGGAACTGGGCCGTAACTGCAGGCGGCTGCACAATAACACAGTCGCTCAAAAACTCCGAGCTCCAGCGCGCAAAAGCAACTCTGCAAAGCGGATTTTGAATGGAATGCTTTACCCCCGTTTCTAGCTATTTTAAATAATCCTGCAAACTGGGAAGCAGAAACAATTTAAAAGTCACATTTTCCTTAATCCTAAATCCGCGTAGGTCATAATTGGGGAATTTAAAATATGGCGAGCCACTCTGGCGAAGAGAGGACCAAATCCCTAATCCCAAGGACTTTCGGCGAGGGAGCTGAGCATTGGCAGGGCCTGCGGCCTCGGTGCGCTTCTTCCCTCCCTCCAACTTCCACGGAAGCTGTAGCAGACCTCTGCCGACTCCTTGACGCTCGAGTGCAGAGCTGCTAGGACGTGCAAGGGCCTGGGCGTGCACAGACCGTGCAGAACCCGAGAGTGTGCAGGCCTGGGCGGGCGTTGGGAAGGCGCCTGTGGTGCTCCAATCTCCCCCGGGCTTTTCGGTTCCCGCCTTCCGCGGGCGGGCGACTATGGGTTCTAGGGTCCGTGGCTGGGGCGGTACAGCTTAGTGCCTGCAGCCCAGTTCTCCCGCCACCGGCGTTGTTTTCGCCTATAGCATTTTTGGCGCTCTCGGTGCGTTCCTTCCCTCCCCCTCCCCCCTTCACTCGCCCTCATTGTGCCGGGTCTTTGAAAGTTGGGAGAGTGCTAGATACTTCTGAGGACTGATAATGAAGTCTCTCTCAGGATGGATGCAATCCCCGCCCCCACCTCCCAACCCCATAAGAAGTAGGTTATGTTTTCATTATCTGCATTTGTTTTGGTGTGAGTGCTGCCGTTTAAAAATTAGAGCAAACTGAGCATCAACAAAATGAGAAAAAGAGAAACGTTTAGAGCTATGGCAAAGAAGAGGAACCCTAACCCCACCACAGTGCTCAGCCAACCGATCCTTGTACAGGACAGCGGTTCCCGCTAGCCTCAGGCCTGTATAGCCTCTAGCTGTTCCGATCTCTAGGAAGTGGAGCGAGTTAGGTTTTTTGGGGGGGGGGGTTCGCCCATGTTCTCTGGATGAGTGTCGTTCCCAAGAGACGCAGGAGGCCTCTCCTGTTGCATTGTAAGTCTTCATTGCAAAAACCGAAACCCAAGGGCCTGGGCAGGCCTCTTGGCTTGGTCACCCTGGAACAGGCCTTAACTTCTTTTCTAGTAAGGAGCCTCTGGAGCTTTCCTTAGGGTGCGAAGCCGGTGAGGAATTAAAAGGTGAGGCTTCAGAGGCGGGGAAGCAGCAGTTGCGAAACTCAGCTAGCTGCAGGCGTTGCATCCTGCCTCTGCGACCTAAGGGACAGGTGGACCCTCAGGATTTGGGAGGCAGAATGGGCCCAGTCTGTGCGAGGGCATTGAGTGGGGAAAACTTCAGAGCTTTCTAAGTTGTCAAGCCTGAGTTTGGCCTTAGAAGCCTCGGGGTCCCATGGAGATCAAGACTTCGCACTAGAAGTTACTTCTGTAGGTAAGACAGCAGTTCCTGCCCGCAGCGCCCCTGAAGCTGGGAGGTTTTCAGACAGTACCAGTAGCCTGCTGGAAACCTGAGCTCCCCCAATCCCCACCCCGCACTGGAGGCGAGGGGGTCTTCGAACAGCAGGACGGGTCAGGACCTGCAAAGGCAGGGGGCTTCAACTCCCTACTCGCAAGGCTTAACACCGCTGGAGGGCAGAGCGATGTCACCGGGAGCCCAGTCTGGGTGGTAACAAGACCCTGGCCGGTTACCCTTGCAGCCCAGACTAACTTCTTTCAACAGCCTCTGATGGTAATTACAGTAATCGAAGCTGCCATATATCTTTAGGCAATTATGACACACAATAAGCCCTGAAGGAACCCCCTGGGGAGGGAAGTTAAGAATGGCTTTCCAGCCTCTGGAAACCCTGACTGGCCTCTTGTCGGAGCTCACCCGACTCATTAAATGAGAGGAGCTTTGCAACATGGTCGGCCAGCCTGTCTTTGACACTTAACATGACTGGGTGGTGGAGTCTGAGGGACAGACCCGCTATGCCCAGGTAGTAAAACACCCTGATGAGGAATGTGCTGCTTCTCTCCTGTGCCAGGTTCTAGCCCAGCTCCCGGCCCTCATCTGCCTGGGCTCCAAGGTGCGACCCGTTGCAGGGCCGATCAAAGCCCAAGTGGAGACCACTGGTGTCCTGACCCAGGAGACTGAGGAGCAGTCGCCCTCCCTGCACTTGTCTTCTCCTTCCTCCAATCGGGTTCTCCATGGACAAATGTCCTTAGCCTCCGTCTGGATGGGAAGCCTGGGAAAGAGGGCCCACCGCAGCTCCCCCTATGCTTTCATCTTGGCATCCTCAACTGTGCCAACGGGAAGAGGAGGGCAGCTGGGGCTGAGCCCTCAACACTGGCCCCATGGGGCCTGTGCTATGCAGAGGAGAATGCTTGCAAAATCTGGGAACCAAGTTTGCTGCTTTCAGAGTGAGTGTGTGTGCGGTGCAGCGGAGCTGGTGATCGCAGGTCCTGCGCGGTTGTGAGTTGTTCGGGGCGTAATGACAGACCCCAGGGGGTGGAGGACAAGATCCCCACTTGGCCCTCTCCAACGCCTCCCTCCTCTCGCACAACCTCCCCTCCTGCTCTGTGGGAGAAGGGGCGCCGAGGCGGTGGCCACAGCACCGAGCGCCTCCCACCCCCCCACCCCCCA